GTGCAACCATGACAGGCATGCAGGGCCAAGGACAAGCTGTAGCCAAGTTACTCAAGGCTGGGCCCATCAGATTCAGAAAGCGGTCAGTTGATCTATCAAGTTTGTATGTAATGGTGAGGCTCACAAGGGCAGCCAGGGGCAAAGGAAGGGTAGCTGGAGAATTTCCACCTACAAACAGAAAAGCATAAGCTAGACATGCAGAAACAGATGAATGAACAGTTAAAACTCGAAACAGATGGACAGGATATGTATGAAAGTTCAGGGAAGTATAGCAAAGCTTTTGAATCCATCAATGATAGAGACCGGTTTTACACGCATCAATGATTGGGAGGTTAATCTTAGCACCAACAAGTTAGTTTAGCTGGCATAACTTGGTTCTCTAAAAGTACAGGGATCAAACCCTATTATCTGCACCTCCCACATGTGATAGCAAGAGAGAGAGAGAGGGCATTTCCACCCTCCCATGGAGAAATTATCACCAGAGATAACTGGTATATCCAGTAGGTGCCAAACCAATAGGTATGGGGAAAAGATTGCACTTAAACGAGAAGCAGGAAGCAGGTTTCTTACGCCACACTTTAGGTCTTGAGAATGTAATCGCTTCAACTTAGATAAGTGCTTACCTACAGTGAGACTTGGGACATTCACACCTGTTGCAGCTAAAATTTTCTTTATCTGTTGCTCCACTGTTGCTAAATTTGCAGCTGGGCTTGGCCAGTCAGTTCCATTCATAGAAGCAAGCTTCCAGATACCCCGTGTCACTTCAGCTGAAAAGTAGCTTACGATTGTTGCCAAAGACGCCGGGAGAAAGTCTGCCAGATCCTTAAGACCTGAGATGGGAAACTGCATCTTTCAAATACTAAAACATACAATTCATTGACTTAAACAGAGAACCAGCAAAATCACAAGTTAAGAAATACATGTTAGTTTCATTTTTCTTTCTTTTGTTTCCTCTCTTTTGAGTGAGAATGTGTGTCTTGGACAGGTAAAGGGGAGGTGGGTAGGATGGGGATATGATATATTTCCCATCAACACTTTATGCCTCCAGATGAAAGTGGAGGTTCTGACTATCCATTTTTATTTGATGTAGAGTTACCATCGTAGCATTGCACAAATATGTCTCTTATATCTGATAATTGGTCTTAAAAGCTACATCTCTCTCTCTGTCTCTCTGTCTTGAAAGTGTCCTTGCATGCTCGGCTGTCTAGTACATTAAACAAGTGCTCCTGAAGGCTAGACACTAAGTCAATGGCAATTGCAATTTATAACAAGTCCAGACCAGATTCTCTAACCTGTGGCTAGTTCACGTGGTGACAATCTACCATGAGCACATGCAGTGAGAGCAGCATCAAGCACAAAAGGAACAGCTTCCAGAATATCCCATGCAGGCAGTTTAAGGTGGAGAAATACATCTTCATTTCCAGGCCCGGATGAGCTACTGCTTCCAGAAGTAGTTGGTGCCAGAGACTGACCAGTTCTATTTATCTTTCTGAACATGAAGTTCAGCAGTGCTTCAACAATCTGGTGAACAGGAGTTCCAGGGAGAAGACCTGAGAGAGGTGAACCAATGCATGCTTGATGTTGCCTGTACCACAGTTTTAATTTTGGAAAAGAATCCATAAATATGGGTTCTCCAGATAATGGACTTGAAAGTCTAGACAGCCGCTTGATTTTGCTTTGATCTTTCTGCAGATCATCAGAGGATGCCAACTGGGAGTTGCGCACCAGCAAAAGGTATTCAGGAGTTAGACGGGATCCCACTGGAACAACATCCATAACATTCTCACGAGGCGGCTGATCGAACCTCCACAACTTCAGCAGAAGAGTAAATGCATTCGAGAAGATGGCATGTGAAGAAATTTCTTCAGACATTACAATCCATGTCACGTTGGGTGCACACGAACCAAAGGCCTCACAAATTGGCATCAATGCACCAGCAAGCTGTGGAACCTGGAAAATGCAACGCATAGACATTAGTACAAAATGAACAGCCTGGTTTTCTCCATCCTAATCTTATGACAGCTGCTAACTCTGGGTACTTTATTTCAGGCTTCAAGGCCCTCAAAGGTACATAAAAGACGGTACTTTATTTCAGGCTTCATTTGTGGCATGGCTAAAGTTTCCAATATTTGTACAGGCCCCTGATTGCATACAGATATATTTTTCCAAATTTATTTGTGATACCATCAAATTTTCATGAAGTGTACACAGAAGAATTTATTTCTGAACATTTGTCATCAGGTTTCAAGGTTGAGTGGCCATGCAACTGTAAGCTAGACTCTCTGCTTTTTAATGTGATTTTCAACCACACAAGCAACATAGGTGACACTTAAAGTAAATTATAAGAAGATAGGTGAAGCTGAAGTTCAACGTACCAATCCATGCAGAGAAACAATCTGAACACAATCAATAGATGACACTCCGATGAGAAGAACATTCAGGAATCGAGCATAGCCAATCAAATGGCTTTCAGTTCCAGAATAATTAGCAGAAACAGGAGGCGAAAGCAACCTGGTGATGAACAAAACAGTATGTTCCTGCAAACATGCAGATGAAACACAGAGGAAATGAGTGTGTCGACATAGAAATGGCAATTTTGATAATGACTTAGCGGAAACCAACTTCTAATACAAGTACACTATTATCTAAGTTCTTTGGCAGCTCAAATTAAAGTAATGTGCCCTAAATTACTGAAGCAGAGCATCTTAGGTAGTCTTCGAGGAAAAAAAATCACTCTTCCAAAGTGAGTTATTTTTGCGTGTGGGCTTAAGGGGTTTTCCTTTCTTAACTCCAGATCTATTCTCTTCCTTCTCGCCGTCCATCAATCTTCATTGTCACCATCTGCTAGGCTGCTACCGTTCCGCCTCTTGTTCTACAAGTCATACGAGCCGCCAATCAGCGGGTAGTGTCTTGCCTTCTCCAATCCTAGTTGCATACACAGCAGATACATCCTTTTTCTTATAGCCTGTTTGGCCAAGCTTCTTATGAGGTAAAAGTGCTTTTTTTTTTTCTAAAATTAAGGTGTTTGGCCAATCTTTTGGATGGAAAAAAGTGCTTTTGAGGAGAAGCAGGAGCAGGTTTTGAGAAGCAGGAAAAAATAGCTTCTCTCCAAAAGCACTTTTGAAAAAATATACTTAGAAGCATTTTTTATAAGCTTGGCCAAACACTAATTGCTACTCAAAAGTACTTTTCAAACTAAGTAACCAAACACAAACTGCTTCTCACCAAAAGTACTTTTTTTGAAAAACACTTCTCAATATAAGCTAATTTTAGAAGCTCGGCCAAACAGGCTATTAGTCTCCCTTAACCAACTGCCAACCGTGGAAGGGGGAAACTAAGCCGTTTCTTCATCTCTTGATGTTAATGGGATTTAAAGATGGTGTCCAGGTGAGGCCCTCGAGGCTTTGGTCTAGTGGTAAGAGTGTTGCGCGTGATGAGTGGATTAGAAGCATGCCAGAGGTCCGAACCCTGCATACAGTAGTCTTGGCATTTAAGTCGAGAGGGGTAGAGGGGCGGGCCCATTATCCATCAAGTTCCAAACCATGTGCCATTAGCCTTCGGGGATTTCTCAGCTATTAAAAAAAAGAGGTCCAGCTGTATTCTCAACCTCCCTCTTTGATTTCATTTCTTCACTTCTCTTATCCATGGATTGGGGATCTACTGCACATGCCAATGTTGGAGTTTCTCAGCCTTTGCACACTACTTGCTCTGTAATTGGTTATAGTAGTGGGTTTAGCTGTATAATGTAAGCGGCATTGGGAACCCGTACTAACTACTAGGACATTGGAAATCTTCCTGTCTTAAACGGGTTCTTTGAAAAGGGGGAAAGGGGGAAAGAAAAAAACAAATATGTTTTTTTATAATGGACAAAAATAAATGTGTATAGAAAGAAAGTTTTCATAAATAATGTAGACTCTAGAGGTTTTGAACAAAGAGAGTTTTGAGGTTCAACTACCTAAAATAGTAAAATACACCTACTTTATCTAGAGAGAAAGGCAAGTATTACCTGTATATTCCAACCACGAGCAAGAGAAGCACCACAGAGAATAGTAGCAGCAGAAATCTTGTCATCATCCGAGCCATTGACGGCAATGTCATATATTTTCTCTATTTCTGCTAAACTTCCATCAAATCCATGAGCTTAATTTCAGTTCCATACCACTGTATAAATTTCGAAAAAGAAGATCTGATATACCTGGCTTCAGGACAGAAAAGGTTTTAACTGAAGACCAGGCAGTTGCTAGGAAAAATAAGGGAAGATTTTGATTGCACAACTGCATTTTCCAAATTTTGACTACAAACATGCCATACCCTCGGAGATATAGACTGATAAAACTGAAAGCCGAATTACTAACCCCTAAACCAGATCTATTGCCCAATTTACTGCACTTTTAAGAGATTTTTTTCTAGTAAAATAATCCAAAGTTAGAGCAAATATGAGATTGACCCTTCAAGGGAATTTCTTTACTAGTAGTTTTAATTTTCTTTTCCATTATAGTTGGTTTGCCGTCCAATCTTCATCACTTCCTCTCTACCAAGACATTACTATCTTCTTTCCACCTACTCAAAATTGGCATAAAAAACTCATCTGCCTTCTGCCATTAGAGCCCATTGAAATTCCTTTTAATAAAATATTTTAATTTCTGCCAATCTGGCTTATTTCCCATAACCTCTCCTACCATTCCCGAACTCTAGTAGGCTGAGCATTCTTTATAACTTCTGGAACTTTATTATTTAGTCATATTAATTCAGATTCTGATCCACTCGGCCCGTTTTATAAGCCAGCTTAGATGGAATAATTCATGTTGAAGGCCTATCTTTATTTCAGTCGGAGAGTATCGTTTTGTGAGTAGTTAAATGTGCATCAGTTCTCTTATCTATATCTTTTCACGCTCTCAACATGTTTGAAAACTCCAACTAGGAAACATGAACCAGTGGCACTCTGTAGAATATTACTATTTGAAGCAAGTATTCCGGGCAGAAGATAATGAACAAATTAGGAGACAAGGAAAACTTTCTAATTGACAACTCAGTTGTACCTTGATGCTGGTGTTGATACTAAAGAACTGACCATTGGAGGAGTTAAGGGAGACCCCTTCATCAATGATGACCAGCCAGGCATTTGGCCCGAGACACTACGAGGCACTTGATCGCATCTACCTTTTACATATCCGGGCCACAAATAAGCAGACGTGTCCAAAATGTTTCTAGCAATGCAAGCTTCGACAATCAAGTGCCGCAGGTTTCCAGCTACAAATTGTTAGAGATTAGCCTAAAAACATACATCAATAGTCTGACATACTAGCATAGAAGAGAAGTAACAGATGCACCATCAATGAAGTCAAGTTTTCCAATCATACCATCCGCACGCAATCACCCATCAAAAATAAATAAATAAATATAACAAAACAAGGGAAGAAACAGGAAAATAACATAAATACCCAACTGAGGACAAAAGGCAAAATTGAGAGTTTCATCTAACTTACCATTGACATGGATGAAGATGAGGCAAACTTGATTAGCAATTTCGTCAAAGTAACAGCATAAAGCAAGTTAAACCACATGGGACAACTAATACAAGACAGACGCGCTGAAATTTCTTGCAGTTCAATAAAGAGATAACTCACCGCAATTGACAGGCATGTCATTTAAGCTCATTCCCTCAAAATAGCCACTCCCAACACGTAAACCTGAAAGGAACATCATTGCTTTTGCGGCAGCTTGATTTGCCAATGGAGCAGCAGGCAATGGTGGGGTCAACAAGCCTTCATAATCGTCAAGTTGCTGAAGGGTAGATAGCAAGTCTTGGTGACGCTTTCTGGAGGACTCTTTAGTTTGATTGGTAGAGCTACAATTCCTTTCCTCCTCTTCAATAAGATTCGCTNCGATTTACTTTCCAGAATTTAAACTTGAATTGTTTCCTGCAATATCACATTGGAAGCATAGTTTCCCAATTTTTGTTTTTTTGGGACTGGTAACATGTTTCCCTAACCTGAATTCAACTTAACAATGAATGGAAGGGATTCATCATGAATTCTTACTCTATTAACAAGCCTTAGGGCTGCAATCCATAATCCAAGAAAAGTGTCCTGCCAGGTTGTAGAGTTAACTGCCTGCAGAGCCTTCACTAGACCTGCAATACAACTTCAGTTTAGCAATGTCATTTAGAGCAGGTTATACTCACTAACAACTTAGGGGTCGTTTGGTATGAGGTATAAGAAGGTATAGGGGTGGTATAAAAATTTAATACCACCTTAATACACTGTTTGGTTAGCAAACCAGGTATAAGTTATCCCGGTGTTAATTTTAACACCGGGATAACTTATACCTTATAGAGGGTGGGGTAATTAGCACCGTATAACTTATACCTTCTTCTTAGAAATTATACAATAGTCATTCTTAATACAACATACCAAACAGTGAACAACAATCCCAGCATAACTTATCCCAACATAAGTTATACCGGCATAACTTATACCGGCATAAGCCCTATTCCAACCAAATGACCCCTTAGAGTACTATGTATACCGGTGAGTGTTTCAGCAGCACTTGTAGCTGCTACTTGTGACCCATCAATGGTGTCCTCTAGAAAGAGATCGAAGGGGAGCCACAGCACTGATGGACTAGCACCATGACACTGATCTGCAGAAGATGCAAGCGAACCAGACACCACTACAGCATGAAACTTTTTCTGTGAGCTTGTTTTGCGCTTTCTAGAGAGGACTACATGATTATCTGATGTTAACTGCAGCAAAGCCTCCGGAGAAATATTCTTAGAGTTTCTTAAAGCTGATGAGTTTGACACGAGAAGTCTTAAATTCTGGGTAAAAGATTCCCAATGTCCGGGCCTAAAGAAAAAATAAAACATGAACAATGAGCCACTGCAATATCAATTTAGTTGTATTTATTAATTGCTTAACAAAACAGTGAAAAAAGGCAACCGGTAATATGCAAACTTGAGTGAGGGGTACTGTCACTATTAACAAGAGCAGCAGTTGAGAGAATAAAGGTATATGATCTTACATGTTCTTGCGTGCCAAATAAAGGATCGCAGAAGTCACTTTATCTCGAAAAAATTCACCAATTATTTCAATAGCCATAACTGTGTTCATTTTACATAATCCTTCATGCTTTTCTGTTCTTCCCCCAGCAAAACCATCATGATTATTCAATCCCATGTCTTGAGATGTAATAGGCCACCTGGACTTCTTTTCAGCAGTCAGTTCCATCAATCCCTCATCATCAAGGGACGCATCAAGTAACTCCCATACAATAGCAAAAACAAATTCAACCACAATTAGACCACTTTCAGATCCTTGAAGTCCAAATATCTGGTAAAGATGTAATGTATCATTTATTGCTTCCATAATCCTGCAAATTTATTCACATTTATTAACTGTTGATACTAAATTAATTGACCGCCTTTGCACTAGTTCAAACAAATTCAAAATAAATTGGCAATTCTGAGTCAATATACTTCTCATTTAAATGGATATCTTATGACCTCTGGGGTAATAAAGACAGGAAAATTCCCGGACCATAAAGTGAGAAAAATAATTATAGTTCCTATGAGTTCCACTTATATCATTTTCAGAATAATGATCATCTGAACTTTGCTAGATGGCACTTAAAAAATCCTCATCTTGGAAAGGGGTGCTCTGCAAGCGAACAATTGAAAATATATAAACAAAAGAAATTACGGGAAAAAGAAGCTAAGTTGCTCGGACACGGGTGCGGGTATCCGACAGGGGGTGCGGATCTAGAGGTCGGATCCTTCGAAATGTAAAATCTAAGATTCGGAGATACAGATCCTAGTATGGATACGGGTGCGGGGATCCGGCTAAAAATAATTCAAAAAAAAATAAAAATATAAAATATAAAAAAATATCTCTAAATTATGAAAAAAATTGTGGAATACTTACCTACAGCTTGTAAAGTGTGGATTTCTTTTTTATTTCTCAAGTTGGAGGCATGATTTCTTGATTTTCTTCCATTCCGAATTCTCCTAATGGTTAACTTTTTCTTATAGTTACCTTCATATACAGTTAAATATTAATTTTATAATTTAGATTAGATCTCTAATTATTATTATAAAAATCGAACTTACTGTGTGTCAAGTTTTCACTACAAAGGGTACAATAGTATTAAATATAATAATATCCAAATAAAGTCAAAATCTTGCACTTTCCCAATTCTCGAATGCTCCGTCTTCCCCAATCTCAATTGATATTCTCTCCTGCTCTTTCTGCTCGATCAAGACGAGAAGCAGAAAGTAAAGGGTCCATTTCCAAGATAAGATATGTCATTTTCTTCAATTTACCCTAGTTTGGGTTCTGATCTCGGGAATTAAATTGTATCTCTTCTCGAATTTTTTCACCCGTCATGGTCAAAGCACCCAAAATCTTTTGACCAGATCCGGTACGAATCCCATACCCGCACCCACACCAGTGTCGTGTCGACCCGGGTGCGGCACCTAAACTGCCCTGTCAGAGCAACTTAGGAAAGAAGAGCCCTTTAAATAAAGATTTTTGGAATAAGAATCTCAATTAATATTTTCCTGAAAAAGAAGTGATACTCTGGCCTCCGGAACGGTCAAAAATTGGAATGTTATCTACTGAAGTTATCAACTTAATTAGGTGGACAAAGTGTCCAAGGAAAGGAAGGCCAAAAACCTACTTTACTATTGACTCAAAAGTAAATAAATGTACGCTTTCCTTTTTCACCCCAATTACCTTTCCACCTTCTCCAAGCTCACCATCTAACCAGAAAATCTAAACAAATTTAATAAATGAATTCCCACGGTGTCAACTCAAATGCTATATCGCATCAATGTTTTTTAAAGCTAAGATTAAACTTAATAAAATGCAGATCAAGTATTAATGACCAACATGCATAAAAACTCGTCTGAAGTAGTAAAGGATGTGAAACGAGGCATACTTTTGATAATTTGGACCATTAATCAGAGACGCCAATGAGAAAGCATATCTTTTTAGAAGTTCCATATAGAGCCTATACGCCACTGGATAGCTCCTGCGAGCAGGGATCACTCTGCAAAGAGAAAAAAGGAAAAAAAGCATGAACAAAAAACAAAGACTAAAAAACCATTAACCAACCACCACACCTCAATCCCAAACTAGTTAGAGTTGGCTATACGAATCTTCTATATCTATCGTGTTCTATAACAGCCAATTTCACTTTTTTTGTAACTGAGAAATCCATTGTTCATAGCCTTGAAAATTGATGGATAATGGACTCACCCCTCTACCCTTCTCCACTTAAATATCATACTTGGTTCACGGATTCAAACTCATAGTCTACCAAAGCCCTAGGGGCTATAGTATACGAGCCAATTTCATTACAATACAAAACATCACGATAAACTAATAAAGATAAATGCATTTCTTAAATTGTATAACCACGTCATCTAAATTATTATTAGAATGGGACACTTTCATTAATCTAATTACATATGTCTCAACATTCCTCTACGTGGGGGCTCATTATTTTCTATTAGTACAAGCTCGTGAAAATACTTTCTATTATTGAGTAGTTATTAGAATTTAACCTAGCAACTATGTCGAATAGGTTATCACCTCATCTAAAAGCTTAAACTTTAACATTAGAGTTGAACATTTTGTTCAATTATATTAACCGCCTGAATAGGTTGGGTATTAAACTTAAGTTCTATGGAATATATATATATATATATATAGACACACACACACAATCAGGCCACTTAATAACATTGATCGGTAACCTCGAACAAATGGCAAGTAAGCTATACCTGGTGGAAAGAAGAGCGAGAACGAACATAGGAGGGACAACACGAAGGGTCAAAGCTTTCTCTAGAAACTTCCAAGCAATAGGAACGTTATTAGCCCAACAGATATGAGAAACGAGAAGGTTCGCTACGTCGGTGGAAGGCATGGAGAGTCCAGCAGAGTTAAGGTTGGAAGAAAGTTGGATGGCCCACATCAAAGGGTCGGTGCCTTTCTGCTGAGCCGACTTGGTCAGTTCCATCACTCCGTCCCATAGGTTTGATTGTATTTGTACGGAGGACACCATGGCTGCCATGGCGATTTACTTAGGGTTTAAGCTTTAGATCTGAAGATTTTCTTCTATCATGAATAGTACTAGAGCTGCTCAAAATTTGGACTAATGGGGAAAGAAGTTTCGAAGTGTTGGCTCTTTCGTTCTGTGCAGAGGAAGACTTGGTAATACAATTGAGAGTCAGTTTTGAAGGCTTTTGCTTCGTTGATTCTTCTCTTTTTCTTGACCCCTATTACCTTTGCTGGACCCACTTATATTTTTGAGTCGTTTTCAAAAAAATTGCCCAAATATTTGATTAATGTTATAAATTAAAGACTGTAAAGTAAATAAATCAAAGACAAGTATAGGGAGAGAGATTGATATACTATTGAACTTTCAAACTGACGTAGATAATAAACTGAAATCTCTTCTATTTACAGAATAAAGGAAGCTGCTGTGTAAGCTGCTGTGTAAGCTGCTACTACAAGCTGTTGTGTAAGCTGCTACTACAAGTTGTTGTGTAAGCTGCTACTACAAGCTGTTATGTAAGTTGTTGTGTAAGCTGCTACGCAAGCTGTTGTGTAAGCTGCTACTATACCAGACATGGATAATCTTCTACCTAGGGTAATGTTTATCCATAACCGGGTACCGAAGTGATAAGCTCTTCAGGAAGCTTATTTCCAATAGAGTACTAAATAGATAAACATATTTACGGTGGAGTCTCA